CTGCGCTGCATTGGTTTTCCGTATGAAGATACATACACATCGTCCCATTCTTGAAACCGTCGTCGTTCAGAAGTTTCGAACTTTTATAAAGTTTCTTTTCAGGTCAGTTATGCCTCCAAACAAAATGTGTCCTTGTGACGGTGTCACAACGGTGAATGAATGGCAAACCTTTATTTACACTGGAGCTCGTGTCTGGTATTCCGGGGGTCACTGGGGGTCACTCGCTAGCCCGCTGCCACGGCCGCTAAAATTAAGAGGGGTAGTTTTTCTCTTTAGTTTGTTCTCCCCCCCCCCGAATTCCTCTGATGAAGGATTGTGAGATTATATTTCACTACATAAACTGTCAAAAGGCAAATGATCCATGGCTTCTGCCGCAGTGGCAATTTGTTCTTGTCACGGAGAACTTGTCTTTGCAGGAGGGAAATTAATTTGGAAACTTTGAACGTGTTTAAAGATCAAATTGTTCGTCTTTCTTGTTTTTCCAATAAAAATGTAATGCAAATTATTGTTTATTTGATCTTAAATTAGATAAATCGTGACTACGTTAAGAAGTACATGTTAGTAAACCAAGTCAAACTCAAGGTAACAGGAATCTGGAACATTTATTGCCAAAATGTTTTAAACATACAAGGAATTTGACACATTACGACTCCAGCAGATTCTGCAAAAACAGCGTAATCTTACATTTTAAATCAATTAATTCTATTCGCGCTAAATCCTTCATATCAATATTAGCATGTAAAAGGTTTACAACATTCTGGTATATTTAAAAAGGAAACAAAGAACTGAACTTCAGAACGTAACGTAATCCATTCCACGGCTATGTCGTCTCTGCCCTCGAATATTAGATAAAATCGGCTGTAACATATCAAATGTTAAACATCGCGGCTTAAACCTGCCAAGTCGTCATTATGCGTGTTGCTTCAGGGTAACAGGTCATTCATCACAAGCAATGACACATTTTACAATCAATCCAAACATGACTCACAGGGTTGGTGACGACTTTGTTTCTGTGTTGCATTTATTCAGGAACTTCGACTTCAACGGGTTTCATTCTTACGTCTGAAGAGTAGAAGTAAAAGTACTTACTGTCATCCCTCTCGCTGTGGAATTTTAATTATGAGAGTTACAAATAAAGTTAGCAAGGGAGAACTTAACTTGAAAGCTCCGTGTAAGAGCAGGAAAGTCCCCTCGCAGAAGACGCGCGTACAGTTCAAACCGTCCTCTGGTTTTCAGTCAGCATTCGTCTACTCATCGGCTGGAGGAACGGCCGCCATCTCCTTTGGGCGGCATGCGCGACGGGGGCGAGAGGGAAGGCCTCAGCTAGGGGGGGTCATTCAGAAAACACTTGGGTGACGGCGGAGCTGCTCGTGCTTTTGGTCAGAGTTGTAAAAAATGTCCCCCGGGAGCCCTTCACAGTGTGAGTCTTCCAGCTTCGGTTTCGGTCAGGGGTCACGGAGCAGGGCCCGACAGACGGATCGGCTTGTCACACTGATCCACAGACGTCCTCTAAAAAAGCCTTCCTGGGCCCACTGCTGCGTTTTTTTATGACGCAAACACACGGCCGTTGGACCTTTTGCAACTCCAATCTGGACATTTCAGAAACACGGAGCTTTTGTCCGTGCCGTTTGGCTGCAACATCAAGAGCCGATGGAATAATCACTGCGTTGATCTGCATTCTTCTCAACGTTTGCATCAGGGGATTGATACCAATCTCTCCCACAGCTCGCCGGGCGCATTCCACAAACGCGTCCCCCGGCCACGTAGGGCGCCTGCATCTCCGGCATACGCGCGGTTATCCCAACGTCTGCGCGTCCCAACAGCTGCTCCGAGAGCCCACGCTGAGGCAATTAGAGCCGTACAATAGAAACATCCATTACGCCAAGCGGGCACAATCCATACGTCTGTGGAGCCGCAATGAGATTAATTCCTCTCGGATGGGGCGCATTCTTTCCCAGATGTCAACGTAGGAATGAGTGATTGAAGTTAACAAGCTCATTAGTGCACTTCCAGACAATGTTCGGGGGCCGTATGCTTGATTACTTGGCAGTCGGGGTGCCGTGGAAGATGAAGACTAGCGGTTCTGAAAGTGAGGGCCTTTTTTCCTATAGGCTGTCTTTTAAAGGACAGACTTTTTAATGTCCCTCAGCCCAAAGTCCATTTATTCATGAACTCAAGACTTGTATCTTCAATAATGTAGTTTCCTTTTTAAAGATGCTTATGTCATTTCCATGAACTTGCTGGACAATAAAGTTTATAGTCAACATCAATCAAATAGGATTAAATAGCGCATTTTGTGGGGACTTTTCTCATCGGTGGATCAATGCGCGTGCGGCCGCGGGACGTTGTGTGCGGAATGATTAAAGTAAACATGCCACATTGTGGTTTTTAATAGTTTTTCTTCCAGAATGTAAGTCAACCGTACGACGCGGGGCAATAAGCTCCAGACAGACAAAACCCAGTTTGGGATTTATTGACAGTGAGCAAAATACAGACTGTTTTAATCTGTTGTTTTGAGAAGTCATTTTTTCCAAATCACAAGATCCCGTGTGGCGCTGGGACGATGGGGAATCTGCATCGAAACCCCCGATGATGCTCCTTGATGCTCCACAAACTCAACTGTGAGTCTTGACACATTGATTCTTCCAAACATTCCCACCGGGCCTTTGGCTTCCTTTTGCACCCAAACGTCCTGTGATTCGATTCCTCGTGAAGGAAAAGAGTGAAGTGCGAGTGGTGATGGGAGGGAAAGACAAAGACCGAACAGATGGACCACAAGGCCAGACAAGCTGTGTCTCATTTTCACACAGAGAAGTAATGAAAACCTGCTGGCTGACTCTAAGCACAGGCCTGGGATCAGCTTACCTCCATCCCGGGACCCTGACTGGCTGTGAGACCGTATCGTTGGTGGAGACTGGATGTCATCCGTGTTTGGAGACATATTGCGAGGCTTCTCATTTGTAGTCTTTGTGTCTTGTGATCATGGAAGACGAGCTGCGGCATCCAGAGGACGCGTCACTCCCGCTGCTTCACCACCAGGTGTTTTGTATTTACATAATGCCTCCACGCGTCTCCCCTGAGACCCGAGAATGCGGCTGATCACATTCAGCCGCCCGAGAAAGGTTAGCATGTGACCTGCCAGAGCACAGTTTAGCCAGCTGACCGGCTGCTCGGCCAAAGGGGGGGGTCCAGTCGCAGGTCATTAGGGGGCTCCAGCCCTTAAATGGCCGTATAACTGTTTCTTCCAGAGACTGGAATAGAATGAAGCCACTTTGAAGGAAAGGGGATAAGAGGTGGGGGGGAGAGTTGCCCTGTAAAAACATGTTAAACCTCCGACACAGACTGAATAAACAAGTGCGGACCGTTCAGACCCTCTCGTTCATTCGATTCGATCTGTTGACACGGCGGAACGAATGATGGTCCACGTTAACTTTTCAACACTAGATCATTCTGTCCCAGAGGATAATAAAACATTTTTTTTGTAAACGCTTTACGGTGTTTTGGCATCAAACAATCCTTCAAACACGGATCCGTCACTCGACCTGCACCTTCCTGGATCATATTTCAAGTCCTGCCGGTACCTGAAGCAACACAACCCCCCACCAACGCTGCCCCTTGCACTCGCCCCGAAAGGCCAGCTCGGATAAGCTCGGATGCCATTTTCTCTTTAGAAGAAGTTATAACCTGTAGTTTTCAAAATACCGCTGGGTTGTAAAAGACGTCCCACGTGGTGATGACTTCAGCCACTATTGAGCTTCGCTCTCGTTTTCCTAGTTTTAAATCCAGCCAGACGCTCAAATATGCTGTTTGCCGCAGCAAAACGCAAGATTAGGTGCTGACAGACACACTCACTCACACTTGGGCGCAGCAAATTGCGTGATTCTCCTGGTGAAGGTAATTAATCAAAGTCATTCTGAAAGCCCATCAGTCGCCAGGTACAACGTGGACTCTTACTGGTGCAGTTTTGCTCTCCTGTACAGAAACCTCCCGGTTTCTGGGTGCGAGCAAGGTGTGTTTATGTTGAATGTCAACCAACAATAAGGGGGATTTATCATGAAATGACACTTCAGGGCCCTTTGTTAAGGAGTCAGGAAGCACTTAGCTACATTAACAGCCCTTGAAAAGGGCTCCAGTGTAAAAAAAAAAAAAAAAAGAAGTAGGGCCACTTTTCAAAAAGGATTGTCTTTGTTCAGTTCTGGCACACATTGAGCCATAAACCCTAATCACAGGTTTGATTCAGAGAAAATGATTGTTTTATTTTATTCGAATACTTCACGGACTACTTAAAACAAGTGACTCGTAACCTTTGTGAATGACTGAACCAACAGCGGAGAGACGCGTGAGGCTACTAACAGAAAAGATTTAGAATTGAAAAAGGCATTACCCCTGGAAAATGTCTCAAAAAGACATCTCTCTCTCTCTCTCTAGACATCTTACTATCAGAAAACATATGGGAAATTAGCTTTTTGTAATTTGGGTGATCCTCAAGCCTGAGAAGAAGCACGCGGCTGTCTGCGGACCACAGTGGTCCCGAGAGTGGGCAAAGGAGCTGCAGATTTGGTTTCACCCCTGGGTGTGTGCTGAGTGGAGGTCTGCTTCTCACACCAGGGCAAACAATATATATATATCACCAAGTGGAACCTGCAGACCTGCAGCAGCAGATTTCCCCTCTGAACCCCCTAATGATGGAAAAACGAACGCTCCAGTGCGCTAAATGCCCCTACTGACAACAGCTCACAACTATGTCCATGCTAAAAACAGCAAGTGGAGGGATCCCTCGGGATGAATGCCTGTTGATTGAGCGTAATGATGAAAACCGGTCACACACGTTTAGTTGTGTTTTCCATAAGATGTAATGAAGGGGGGGGGGGGGACTCTAAAAGTCTACGAGCTATAGTTAGAAATCAAAAATACCAGCGAGCCCCAGAGGAGCAGTATGTTGGACTTGAGCATTAATCTACGCCTTCGCCTGATGTGAGGAAACCAAGTGCTGAATGGGAACGGTCTTTTACGCACGGCGTGCAGACTCCTCCCAGACATGCCTGGAAGAAAAACGTCATGTCACAGTTGCTGCTGGCCACTGTCAGAGACTCCATCCACGCCGCCGTACGCTCCGCGACCCCGATTCAAGCGTTCGCATCAGAGAGGTTTTTTTACGCGCACGCGATGAGGGTCTTTATTTCGACAGTGGCCGTGTTGTGCGTCATGGCAATACCCTGCACGGAGGCTATCCACGGATTGTACAATTTCGGACAGCATGACTTACTGTACAAAAAGAACAACTGCAAACCGATCCCCGCCAATCTGCTCCTGTGCAACGATATCGAGTACACGGAGATGCACCTCCCGAACCTGCTCGGGCACGAAACCATGAACGAAGTCCTGCAGCAAGCCTCGTCGTGGATCCCGCTGGTGCAGAAGCAGTGCCACCCCGACACAAGGAAATTCCTCTGCTCCCTGTTCGCGCCCGTCTGCCTGGACGATTTGGACGAGCCGATACAGCCGTGCCGGTCTCTGTGCGAGAGCGTCCGGAACGGCTGCGCGCCCGTCATGTCCGCGTTCGGCTTCCCTTGGCCGAAGATGTTGGAGTGCGACCGTTTCCCACTCGACAACGACCTGTGCATCCCGCCTGCAGGCATCGAGAACTTTGTGGCAGTAACAAAAGAGGGTACGTTTGTTTAGGTGTTTAGTATTGTGCACAAACGCCTATTTAAGACCGTGGTGCGTAATACCCTTATTTGTTTTATTTACCTTCCATCCACCGGTCCGACTTATTTAGTTAATTACCGGTTGAGATATTATGTTCAGCTGATCTAACTTGTCTTTTAGTTCCCAGGGTGTGTGATGCCTGCAAGGAAACGGATGAAAATGACAATGAAATTGTGGACAACCTGTGTAAGAATGACTTTGGTAAGTCCAGCCACTTATTTTGTGTTTGTTCAAGGAGGGGGGGGGGGGGGCTTAGGGGCCTCCAGAGGCCATGAATGGGGTTTCAGCAAAATATTAATGTCAAATGAGTTTAACTAAAAAGTGCAAAGGAACATGAGTGTTGGGTCCAGGATTTCCCTTCTCACGTCTTGTCTCACCCCATAGCACGCATTTCATCACTAAACCACAGACAGGCCTTCTCATGTGACTTCATTTTGACATGTCAAAAAAAGAAAAGAGATTTCCACGCAGATCATCAGAAAACAAAACCAATTATGTTCTCTCTTGCCTGCATGCGTCCAGCCCTGAAGATCAAAGTGAAAGAGATCTCCTACATCAACGGGGACACCAAGATAGTCCCCGAGAACAAGAGCAAGACCATCTACAAGCTGAACGGCGTGACGGAGCGCGACCTGAGGAAGACGGCGCTGTGGCTGAAGGACGGCCTGCAGTGCATCTGCGAGGAGATGAACGACATCCACGCCGCCTACCTGGTCATGGGCCAGAAGATGGACGGCCACCTGGTCATCACCTCGCTGAAGCGCTGGCAGAAGGGACAGCGAGAGTTCAAGAGGATTTCCCGCAGCATCCGCAAGCTGCAGTGCTAGGAGGTTAGGGTTGGGGGGGGTAGGAGGTGTGGAGGGTTTTTGGGGGGGTCCTGCATGTGCAACTGTTGAAGAAAGAGCTCCTTCCAATGGTTCTTCCTTAAAGGATGTTTATTTGGTCCATTTCCCGAATTAACAGGCACACAAAGCATATATGCTGGTTACAAATAACTCTACAAGTATAAAAGTCCCGTAAATTGCAGTAATATGAGACTGCAACCATTGACTCCCATTCATTTTGCACTTGAGTGAGTCGTGAGCGCCTCCCAGTGGCCAGTATTAAAATGGCGTGTCTTCTTCTGGGGAGCTGTCGTTGCTGCTCCCCTCATTATTTGCACTGTACATGCTTTGCAACTGTCATCCAAGGTTGTTAAAAATAGAACTACGTTGTTGGAGTGAAAACTAGAGTTTTTTTTTATTTTTTTGAAATTCAGGATTCAAACACAAAACAATTGATTGAAAAAAAATTTGGTCAAATCCTTCCCCAGGGGTGATTTAAGATGTTTTCTTTTTCCCCTTTGGTATTACATGGGATTTATTTCTGCTTCTGCATCATCACCCAAAAAAATCACCATCAAACTTTTTATGTTTTTCACGGGTAGTTCCTCAAACAAGGTGAAATCCTCAACAATCAAAACTCCGAAAAGAAACGAGTTGTATCACGAAGGTCAAAGGCCTTGAATGACTCAGCAACTACGAGTTTAAAGTCTTCCTAAATAAAACCATTTTTTTCACATCGTTGCACCTAAATAATGACTGATTCATATTTTGCGGCGCTTGTTAAATGAAGCTGTGATCCCAGTGTGAGTAGTGCAACGTTCAAAGACAAATATAACGTTATTGTTTTTGTATTCCCACCGTTTTCTCAAGTAAAAAATAAGAGATAGCTGGCTATATTCTCTTCCTGTTAAACATTTTAATACTCTTGGTTATCTTTTTGTACTTGAGTAACTCCATACCTTTTTTATCACAATATGAAAGAACCGATATTTTTTCTAATCCAGGTTTTCATATATTGATGTTTGCATCTTTGCCCCGTTATATTTGATGAGTGAGACAAGTTTTTTTTTTTCAGTATTATTGGAGGATGAATATTTGAGTTTTGATTGGCAGAGTTGATTTGACGAGCAGTAACTTGTTAGGCACATATTAAAAAAAAAGGGGCCCTGCATGCGTGTGTGTGCAATGTAAAAAGTGTTTTTGAAGGTATTAATGTGTAAATATTAAATACTGACTTTTATTCTGTGTATAGTTACCAGCAACATAACGTTTTGAAAAGACTCATTTAATCCTTGTGTGGAAGGAAATCAATGTACTCACAAATAAATAAAGAATTTAAAGAAAATTAAACATGGCCACATTTTTAATAATGAAAGAAAAACCTAAAATGTATATTATCGCCGAATCACCGCCATCTAGGGGAAGTAATATCTGATCATCGTAATCGGTTATCAAATAGTGTGTTTTGCAACATTCTATTTATGGGGTTTTTTTGTAAATAAAAAACACCATTGACCATTCAGATTTATGTAAAGCTTGGCTTGTAATCCTTGTATACATTAAATTACTTATTGAATCTAGCTTTTCTTGCTTGCTTGTATACAAAAATGTTTGTAATTTGATCATGCGTTTTTGAGAAACACATGACTCTCATTGTATGTGGCTTATGCTCAATTGTTTTGGGATACTTGGATTACTTCTTGTATTGTTCCCTTACTGTGGACCTGAAGGAGGCCTGAGGCTTTTAAATACTGTACGTATGTCCTCAAAGTGGAAAACGATCAGAAACATTTATTGTATTTACCCATAAACTTACATTTGAGAATCTGGAAAGAGCAAATAGTGACTTTATTCTTTTGTCAAAGGATCACTTTTGACTATTTTGCATTCATATTTTTGAATCTTCTTTCAGACTAATGGAAAGACATTTAGGTGATTGTTTTCCTAGACGTTGTCTATTTCTGACTTCTGTACAATACTTTCAAACACCAAACCTACTACCTGAGGATTCTTACAGTGGGAATTGTTTATACATTGTTTTTAGTTTAATTTATAGTACATTTTACTTCTAAAACAATGGTGACAATGATTGCAATATAATGCCTGTCTTTATCCAACAGATATTTGTTCTGTAACGTTATGCAAAACTAGCACATATTTTAAAAGATAATGCTAATTTGCATATTCAAATAATGTCAGGAAAACACATAATACAAAAAAAGACGCAAATGTCTAATGTGTAAGGAATTAATTGGGGAAGTTTTACCCGAGACGCGCTCTCTGGTTTTACACCTTGATTCATGTGGCTCTGACAGTTGTCACATGAATATTCACGTGACTTGAGTGACTCAACTCTCATGTGACATTGACCCAGAAACACCTGGGACTCTCCACCAGTAGACCTGGTGAGGCCTCTTGGAAGAACGTTTAAGGTATTTATGTGGACACCTGCAGTCTGTAAAGAAATATTGTTCTTTAAATTAATAATAAAATATTTATAATAAAATAATTTTATTTTTTACATCTGTCATATGTGCTTTATCCAATATTTAAATATATAATATATAACAATATAGAAATATAATAATAATGAAATATATAACAATGGCACACAGGATTATGAAGGTCCTACAGAGGTCAGTCATAATGTACAAATCAGCCCCTTCAACTGGGTCTGGACTGCAGCAATACAGTTACTCACACCGGTGTATCCGTAACTGCGCAACTCAAGAGTACTTGGAATAAATACTGCGTTATGTGCGTCGCAATGAAGAGAAGCGACCGCAATTGCGATGCCTTCAAAACAGTGGGACAAGTTAACATCTGCAGACTGTGTGGGGAATTTGTTATGACACTCCAAACGTTCTGATGTGACGTTTATGGGGCGGGATGCCAGGAAACCCGGTAAACTACCGTTGGGAAAATGCAGTGCTGTTGAAATAACAAACCATTAGCCAATTTTGTTTTTTAGGGGACTTTGTGTTCAGGTGAATGTGAAGTTATAGTGTGTTGGAAGTGTTTGGGTGTTGGGTAAAATAAGAACGAGTTGTCCTCTTCACGACCGGTTTATGTGACACAATACGCCAAAACAAACCAAATAATTCAATTTCACATGAACCTTTCATTTTACGCGTCCCCTCGTTCACTGTTGAACGCTTTGGGAAAAATAAACAAAATCTCACCTCTCGCTTCAAGAGCCCAAATTTACGACTGCAGCGAACGCAGCACCGCTACTTTTTTCTTTCCATTAGCCGAACGTTAGCTTAAACATTTTTTAGCTGTTCGCGATTTGTGTCTCTTTTGAAAAACGTTTTCCGTCCGTGCCAGCGGGCTATAAAAACCCCATTTGCCTCCCGAATGAAGGTCGACGGTGAATGGTTGCGAGCAGACAGTGGCGGTGGGGGAGAGGGGGGAGTTGTATGTTTGACGAAGCTTCAAAAAGTCCGTGGGGAAGTTCCGTGGGAAATCCCCCCCCGAGTGTGCGAGGATATTATTCTGCGCCACAGCACTCGACGCGAATCGACCCTCCTCGGTCCATTCCTCAAGTCGCGTCACCGTAGACGGAGGTGTCAAATGCTGGATTACTAAAAGAAAGAAAAAAAGAAGAAGAAGAAGGAAGACAAAAAAAAAGACAAAACGTCCACGAAGCCCGCGATGGACAACGCCGCCGCCGCCGCCACGACGGAGCCGGATAGCGACGCGACGCTGCGCAGCAGCTGCGGCGCGCTGAACACTTTGTACCACGAGACGCGGCAGGAGGTCGAGCTCCTCAACAGGCAGATCCACGTCAAGGACAACATCATCAGCGACCTGAAGGCCAGGCTGGGGAGGTACGAGAAGATCTACGTGTCCGTGGGGGACAACGAGTCCGTGGTGATCGGGCCGTCCAAGTCGCTGCTGGAGAGCTTGTGTAAAGAGATCTGCAAACTGAAACAGCGGAGGAACGACGTGGAGATCAGAGCGTCCCGGCAAGCGGAGGTGAAGTGATGTTGTTTTTTTTTGTTGTTTTTTTTGTGGTTGGTGATGGAGCTTCAATTTGGCAGATGGAGGAGTAACAAAACGAAAAAAGTAGAGTGACAGGCCTGTTTTTTCATGGAGCCACAAACCAACAAGCTGCATAACTCGTCAGATCCACATTTTAAAGATGCAATCAACTGGAGGTTCCACGCCAAGCAGCGAAATGTTCGCCCCGTTGACCGTTCCCTCCGTTGTCCCCCCCCTTCCAGGAGATCCAGCGGCTGACCCTGCAGCTGGCGGAGAAGGAGCTGGAGCTGGAGGCCGTCCGGTGCCAGCCGGACCACCAGAAGGACCGCGAGGTCCACCGCCTGCGGGCCGCCCTGGAGGAGAGGGAGCGGGCCGAGGCCACCAGAGCCGTGCTCTGCACGTCCCTGGAGGAGGAGGCCGACCAGCTGCGCGGCCAGCTCGGCGCGACGGTGAAGGTGTGCCAGGAGCTGCTGGCCAGGCTGGAGAAAGACGAGAAGGGGGGAGGAGAAGAAGCAGGGGATGTGGCTCAGCAGCAAAGGTCTAAAGAGGTGTGTGTGTGTGTGTGTGTGTGTGTGTGTGTGTGTGTGGGGGGACCTTTTTGTTTTTCACGCGGCATTAGTACCTGTGGAGGCCTCCGTTGTAACGTCTCTCTCCTTCCACAGATGACGGAGTCCTCTGACATGAGCGGTGTCAACGTCCGAATCCGTCACCTTGAAGAGGAGAATCAACAGCTAAAGCAGCGAGTGGCATACGTAAGTCTGCACCGACGACAAGTTCACAAGTGCTCGTCGACGGCTATAATTGTGATTTCCCCCTGAAAATCTGACCAAATGTATTCAACTTCCTTCTTGTTTGTTGGTCCTTCTTTTTAGGTCCAAAGTCTGAATTCTCAGTGGCAGAAGTACGACTCCAGCAGGGAGGACTATATCCGAGGTTTATGTCAGAGGCTGAAGGAGACCTCTGGGCCGGGCTTGACGCCTGGACTTGGCTCTGTGAGCAGCGTTCTGCTGCAGCAGGAGATTTCCAGGCTCAATGGCTTACTCGAGGAGAAGATGAGCGAGTGCGTGCGGCAGAGTAGAGAAGTGGAGGAGATGAGGAGGCACAACAAGGAGCGCATCCAGACTCTGCAGCAGCAGGTCCGTGCTATGTCTCGTATATTCTTCTTTTAATCAGTTTTAGACTGGAAGCGGCACTTTAGGCTTCCGGTGTGTTTTGAAAACCTGCAAGAAACATGAAGACTGACTTATTTTATTTCCTCATCTAGGTCCTCATCTACGCAGACGACTTTAAGTCTGAGCGCGCCGACCGAGAGCGAGCGCAGGGCCAGATCCAAGACCTGAAGGAGCAGATCCATCAGTTGAAGCAGCCGCTCCACAAACAGGTGAGACCACAGGCCTCCGGCACCTCGCAGGCGCGTCCCACATCCCGCGCGTTGCCCCGTGCAATTCTCACGCCGTTTTTTTTTTTTCTTTTTCAGCCCGGGGCGAGCAGAGACGTGGTTCCCATGTGTCGCGTGCACATAGGGCACCGGATCGCCTCCCGCCGACGCAAGGAATCGCCCGAGCATCTGCTGAGGACCGCGCCCGAGCTGCTGCTGCTGCAGCAGCAGCAGCAACAACAACAACAGCAGCCCGCCGCCGCCACCACGCCCGTGGCCGCCGCCGCCACCACCGCACCGAGCCCCGCGTGGAGCGAGCGGCCGGGCCTGTCGGAACTGCAGTGCCCGCGGTGCCTCGCCACGTTCAAGGACACGGACGCGGCAGAGTACCTGAACCATTGCGAAGACTGTGCCAGAATATGAACAGGAGTGACACTTACGCTTACGGGGGTACGCTCGCCGCTCAGCGCTCGATGACACTACGCGGCAGAAAATAACCTGCGTGGAGTTTCCGGTCCGGAGAGACTTGACTACAAATGAAACGACTGACTTGAGGTGTTTGTACTCGGTGGAGCGATAACCGTACCAGCCAAAGTTCCCCTGCTGCAGGAGGGATGAGCGGATGAGGCTTTTCTAGGTCTGCACGGGGGAACAGTGTCTGCTTCTCGCTGTCCTCCTGTGGCAATGCAAGAGATTATTGTGGTGGGAAAAGTGGATGTCAATGCAATATAACAAATATCATATACCTCAATGCGTCAGATTATAAACCTGTTGCACTTTCTTGACTTTTAGCCCAAAACTGAATCGTATGATCATACGATTGTCATGGCGCATAAGCTTTTTTTTTTTTTTTGGATAATGTGGTGCTATAAGTTGTTTACTTTTGATTGAACTTTACATATTCTGTCCTGTAAATTATACAGTCCTAATAAGAGATTTGAAATATATAACTATTAATATTTATTCATGTTGCATATATATTTGGACAAGGGAGAGCGTTTTAGTGCAATGCTTTGATATCTTTTCTCCACCAAAGCCATGAAATATTTATTTCCTAGTACGCTTTAAAGGATGAAAAACAACATTGAATATATATATTTTTGTCCATTTCCTTTTTTTTGTAACCGTGTACATAAAGATTGGTTCTTAACTGACAATGATATACTTATTTTTGGAGGTGCTGTTACTGTTGAGCTGGCACAACATTTTTGTAATAAAATATTGTTCACACACACTATATCTCATGATTATTTGTACAGCTTTAAGGAGGCCACATTATCGGGTGGTGTATTTTAATTCTTGACAGTCTGCAGCCTCGAGCTGCAACCACAGATCACATCCTAACCACGAAAATGTCCGCTTTACTTCATCTGTGTGTGTGTGTGTGTGCACCGTGGAAACCCCCTAACCGAGTGTTGCCTGAATGGACACGCTGTACTGTCACAGCCATAATCCCAGCTGTTGTGCGGCTGTAGCAAACGCCACAGAGCCGGAGCGCGACGGCGGTTGGAGTTACATCCAACGACGGCCTGCGCGGATCAGTTGGTGACCGAAACATGCTGCAGTCAACGGCCTCCGAAAGGCCCATTTTCACACATTCAGGTGATTCAGTTGTCATGGGTGTAATAAGCACAGGAAGCTGGACATCCCCTGTTTAAAAGGAAGTAGGCAGAAAACCCTCAGCCACGCCGCCGCCGTGTGTGTGTGTGAGCATAAGACACAATAACATCAGTACTTTGATCAAATAACTACTTTAAAATATTTCAAACAAATTGTTTAAAGAGAAAGCAATACATTCTTCTTAGGGATTGAATGTTGTATTCATGAGAAATTACACTTATTCTTACTCAATTAAAAACCTGTTTTTCCAACATGGCCGTACCAGTGTGAGCTAATGTTGGCGAGCTAGCTAATGCTTCCAGTCGGTTAGTACATCATTTATGGGGCCATGTTGAATGTGGTTGCTATTTAATAAAGTTACGTAGTCTCGCTATATGTAACTACTATATCATTGAATATAATCTCTTTATTTGCTTTTTTACCATGAATGAAATGAGACAATTGATGCTATCCTCTGTGTTAGCATAGCTTAGCACAAAGCCTGCAAAGGTGTGTGTGGGGGGGGGAAATGTCCTTTTTTTTTACAGCTACACGTTAAACACAAATCAATCTAGCACGTTGTCGTAAGGATTAAACGAAAGCAAATTTTACTACATTAGCTTTAGCGGAGAAGGATTTTGTAACATTGGGCCAAGCCAGCTAGCTAACGGAGCCACATATTACCTGTAAAAACCTGTGTAGAATTTTCAATTAAATCTGAAATGACTTAGTGGTCTATGTTATGCCTTTCCACCAAAACCAAGAGGTTATTAGGCTTTATTTAACCAAATGGTGTTGAGGGAAGAACAAATCTAAGCGGTTTGACATTCATCCAAAAGCATCACATGCTCACTTACTCATCAGCACACCAGGGAAAATATTTGTGGTCGAATTAGATTTGAACATTTATTTAATTTACATATTCACACACTCCAATTCATACACCCGCATGAACGGTTCCTGTTCAAACGAGCGACTTTGACGTCTCGTCGTCTACAGCCCTTCTTTCTGCAAGCAGCCCCTAAAAAAGGCCACGAGTTGTCTGCTGGGGATTCTCCCCCCCGCCACACACACCCTCGCATCTATAACAGGGTCTGTACGTGACTGAACTTCCACACTGAAAAAAAAAGTGCCACCCACCAATCTGAGAGTGGAAATAAATAGGTCACAAGTCCCCACCTGAGTGTCTCAGGGAACTTTTCTAAGAAACCGAAGAATTTAGCAAGAAGGAGTCAGGTGACGGACGAAGATCAGTTCCTGTTGGAAACTAGATTGAAAGCGCCAGGATGTGCCGCTGCGCTTGCTGTATACTTTTAACAAAGAGGGAGAACTTCAGCCTGACACTTATCCAGACAAACGCAGAACGGATAGATATACAGCCTTTAATCTTATGTGTATCCTAAAAGAACGGGAATTTCCCGCCATCACTAGGGAATTCCCAAAAAAAAGCTGGTTTATTATAGAGCGTTGCCGGCTTCAGCCGATCATTTTGATTTAATGGATTTCGGTTGGTATTGCTGTTGGATGGGAAAATATTTTTTTCGAACGTGTTTCAAACAAATAAGTTATGTGGCAGATGTAGTCAGGAACCGACTTGAGGGTGTGTGTGGTTGGGGGGGGGGGATTCCCTCTTTGGAAGTTTATGGGATCCTGAAGCGCTGCAGGCGGTCGACAATGAAAAAGCATCAGCACTCTTGAGTTCCAAGCCACGTGGCGGCTGTGATTCCCTCAAACAATCCCATTGGCGCGTCGGCCGTCACCGTCGGACCCCCGAGAGCACCGTTGACTTTCACGGCAAAGGTCACACGATGGAAAAGTCTTTTTGTTTGTAAAAAAAAAAAAAAGACAGAAATCAGTTTTATTTAGATCACGGCCCACATTTCTCCCCTCCGACATTTGGCCCGGTGTTTTTGGCTCGTCTAGATTAGCGTAGTTTTGCGGGGCATTTGCCTAAATGCGGTAGATCCCATCTTACATCACTGGTGACTGAGAGCGAGCGCGCCCTGCAAACATGATTCATACCTGGAAGGAATAATGAGTCAGATGGGCTCCGGTGGCGCTCACAAACTCACACCTTTTTGGTCTCCCCTTGAATGAAGTTCATTTACCACATTTCTCTCAATCACCCAGTCTGAGGGAGCGGTAAATCTTTCATTGTGAAATGCCTCGGCCTTAAGAGGTCGTCACTCTTTGACGAGTCGAGGGGAAGCAGTCGGAGGAACATGACTGACACTCACTTCCTCTACACATCCATTTTGGCTCTGGGTTTGAACATACTGTACTTTCACAGCACATTTGAACTTCAGAACTCGTTTGTTTTATCAAGAGCTACTTACTCCGGGTTCGCTTTTAAGTTAAGCAATGGAAATATGTGAATATTCTTCTCGGTTAACCACCTCTAACTGGAAAAAGAAAGTGCAAATTGAAGGCCAAGATTTTGGAAAAGCACTTATAGGTTTTACTTCTCGATGTCCCGTCCAGTTGACAGCACGTATTAAGTCATCTGCATCGAGATAACGTGTGACCTCATTTCACGCTCACTTTTATTCTCAGGGAATGTACTTGATTTCAAAACTACCTTGAATCCAAAAATATGAATTGATTACGACCGTCCCCAAAAACAACACGCATGTGCTGAGTTTTTTTTTTTTTTAAACTTGCAACCTCGTGTAGCTGCAGACATGCAGAGCAGCAAAAAAACAAAGGGTGTAATTCCATTTCATATTCACCGGTCGCATATGGGCATCATCACATGCCGGTGACGTGACCTTGATGGGGATTCTAATCCAGCAAGTGGGAAATAAGATTTGACACAAGACGCATAATCCTGCCGTACTACTGTATTCCATCTTTCAAAAAAGAAAGACAAGATTTAATATTACTTAACAATATGTTAAAAGTAGCCAGTTTGGCTTCAGTGTTAATACAATATACACTCTATAACAGATTGATAGTGTGAGTATTGTTCTTTTTTGATTTCATTCTGAAAGTATTCTGATACAAGCTGGCTACAGGTCAAAAATAAAGAAAACAAAAACTGTAACTGGTACACTTTTACTCAACAGTTTGTTAAACAGAACTTAAAAACCAAAAAAGAACATTGTCAAGTATTACGCTTTCCTCCTTTCTGTGAAACAGGGTGGTTGTAAGGGTGTGAGGTGAGGGGTGAGGAGGGGTGAGGGAGGTGGGGACCAGCTGACCAAACCCATTCCCTTGTCAATGTAGATGAGATGCCGTGCTAGGAACGGGAAACGATGGGATATTAAGCCACAATATCAAATACAGCTTTTAATTCAGTACATTTCTCTTTTTTTTGTAGTTTCCATTTTCTGTTTTTTTGGAAGGAAACCATCCAGACATATTAAGCATCTTTTGACGATAGGTAAGCCATTAAAAAGAAAATCATTTCAGACCATGGCTTTTTAAGTCAAAAGAAATGCCCAACTCAGAATAAAAGCACACAAGCACGCAAGGAAAATTAATCAGATGTAAAGTAGCTTTTTGTGATTCTTTTGTGTAATTTATTTCATATAAGTTCTGCAGGTGGATCGATCCAGATGGGTCCGTGTTGGAACCACACAGCAACAAGAACAAAGCAAGGCAGCGTGGGTGTGATTTGGGCACAGCAGGAGAGAAGTTCCAGGAGGACAACAGCTGGGTGGAGGTAAAGGGGGAGGGGTCGTGTGGGTCGTGTGGGTTGGAATAGCTGTTGAGGTTCTGATTGTGTCCCGACAGTCACTGACCAACAAGCAGCCTCAGTGTGCAGCGAACGTGGCTTTCTTCAAAGTAAAGTTTGACCAGTTGATGGAAAGCCGCTGGCGGGTCTGCCGGGCCGAATCCAGACAAAACCTGCAGGAGAAACAACGTCAACCTTCTGAAGAGCCACGCGGCATTCTTTATACCGCAGAGTTATAACGAGCGGGTTCAATTTCAATAGGGAAGGAGAGAAGACTACTATGTTATTTCCTTGTTGTCTTCTTCCTCGTCTCTGCCGGCCAATCAATGTGCGACTACCTCGTTGCTATTTAACTGTCAATCAACAGAGCAGCGTATAACTGTAACGTGTTTTTATCCACATTACTCCACGGGGGTACAAAAGTCGATATCTACATATAGGTGTGTGTGTGTGTGTGTGTGGCAATGCATGTACCTTTTGAAATATTCCACCTCCCTCTCTGTCTCATCCATTTCTGTGCTATCCAGGTCGATGTCTTTGGGCAAGAATACGTCATCTGAAAAAACAAACAAAAGGCCTGTTAATTGCCATGATTTTAAAATATATTTACTATATTAATGATTGAATTTGCTTTAGTTGGAATTTCTACACATTAGTGGCTTTGAATAAAGAGGCGAGACGGGTTTGTCAGAGGAATAAAAGCGTAAATCTCCTGCACACTGTGGGACAAAACCGCTTTTATTCC